CTTACTGACGTTTCGGACGCTAGTCCTTCGTCGGAGTAAAAGAGAAAGAGGTGGTAGAAAGGAGTGTTTATATGATAGAATAAGACAAAAGAAACGTCAGTAGGTTTTTTCATCTTTTCACGGTTTATAATTTATCCTTTTATCATTTGTGTTGTTATCGGCGAAACTTATCGATTCAGTCTACTGATATTTGATAAATAAATGTTTTTTACGTTGAAAGCCACCTTGTCACTTGTTGTTTCTTTTCATGGATGTTACCTCTGGAGATAACTAAATTGTCTCTTTTTCAAACAAATCCCTGTCAGGTTCAAACATCTTGTTCCAGAAGAATTTCATGATGGCGAAATAAAAAGTTGCCTCTGTTGCGTTCATCACAATACTAACAGCTTGCAGAGAAGCTGGACGGTGTTCAAACTCGTGTATTCCTGTTATGTCTAGAGCAGCTTGAGACGACATTAGTACAAATAAATAAAGATTTTCTAGAAAATATGCAATTAGCGTTACATAATAACAACACTGAAAGCTGGAGGTAGCGGTGTCCTTGTTCGGGGCTGGAATAAAATTCCACAAGCAAACAACAAGTGTCACAGTTACTTCGTCTATAATGAACCCAACTTCGATAACAAAACTGATTGTCAAATGTTCATGAAGGATTAGGATAATGTTGTAGGTGATAACGACTATTAGTTGGAATGAAAGTGACCAAAACCTAGCGTAGCGAACCAGCTTTTTCCAAATGACACGAAAGCCAGGAAACGGTGACAATTTAGCCACAATAGATATTGATATTAAAGAGTTTACGGCTGATGACATTTGCCAGGCGACCTCGAACTTTGTAGGATATGGAAACACACCGGAATCATCACAACGGAGCGTGGCAAGTTTGGCCTTAAAGAAGCATTCTGTAGCATAGGTGGCATAGAATATTACGCTGATGTACCTCCATGCTATAAACATCAAGTAGAAAGCTGTTAAATAAGGACACATGCAGGCAAACAGACATATCGTTTTTTCCTCATCCAAGTACGACTGTCTGTGGTTTTTGATTTCATTTTCGACTTCTTCATTGCGTTCTTCTTCGTTGTCAACTTGTTCTGGTTCTGCTTTAAGCATTCAAAATATCATTTGATCAATTCCACGACGTCGTAAACAAATGGACTCCACTTTATACGTTGAAGCGGAATTTCATTTCATGTTCGTGGTTTTTTGAGGCTTTAGTTTCAGTGACTTCATTTGCTCTAAAGATCATTTGTTCGTGTAGATGTGCTGCTAACTGGTACCATCTCCTGAGTTCAATGAACCGTTTTACGTTTTACACCTGTAGGGAACCATGATTATCAGTTATACCAATACACACATCATGCAAATCCGTTGGCTGACCGACCGATAGAAACTGATAGAAAGGTTGCCAGATTATAAGTCCTAAAATATTACGAAGTTCAATGTCTCCGGTTCGACACTGAACTTGCATTTCAACGACCGTCATTCAAAAAACTGCGATAAAAAAAACATAATCTTGAGGACGATTTTAGGCTGAATCAAAGATTTTAGATTAAGTCTATTAAAATCTTCCTCAAGATATAGGTTTTTTATTGCAGTTTCTTGATTGACGGTCGTGTTGAAATGCTAGTCAGCGATCGAGATATTGAACTTCACGGGTCGCACATGGTCGGCAGCGTAACCTGCTGTTCGAAGTACTATGCGTTTGATGGTTTAAATTTATCATTTTCATTCAGACTATTTATTTGGTATTTATTTTATGCACTATTCTGGCTTTCCTTTTTTGATGTCAATGGGTTAATAGCTCCATTTGCAGGGAGCCCGCCGTCCTAAAAATCCTGCAAAGGAAGCCCACGATCACCATGTACCAGCGGCTATCCCTTTTAACAACGATTTCTGAGAAGCTGTGGAAGCAGCATGATCGGAATGGTTTCCCAGAAAACTAACGGATCGACCAGGCTTTAATTATGATTTTAGTCTTAAATCTATCTTAAATCTATTGTTTAATCGAAGAATGAATATTTTTGGAGTGAATTGGCTTCCCATATTTGCACTATTGCTGTCCTTATTTAGTTTTTGTGATCGTGCATCTTCGTACAGGTCAAGTTTACATGGTAAGTCATTATTCGAGGTGGTATCGAACAGGGACGGTGAAATTTTAATACATTTTCACTAAACTCAGCCCCCGCCCCCCACCTCATAATAATAATAATAATAACTTTATTAATGTCTCTATTTCTTCTAGCCGGGCACAAGTGCCCTACTTATCATGAGTTTATGAAGGCTAATGGATATGTTTCTCAGAACTCAATATCCCTAAAAATCACATTCTCAGCATTANCCCCCCCAATCAAAAAACTGTTCCGCCGTTCCTGTCGAACAATTGCCTTTATTATTCTTCAAATTGTTACACAAGTTTAAAAGTTGCCAAGCATTTTTTCTTGCGCTCTGATCGATCAAGGTCGTAAAGCATGTTGAAGCAGGGTCTGAATGGGGTTAACTGGGAGGGCTTTATATTCGCATATTATGCAAGATGTACCTTCTATATAACGGAATTTTTTATGCAAACAATTGCTTATGTATATTCGTAATTATTATATAACGGAATTTATGCAACTAACTACACGCTTAATTTTCGTTATATACTACACACTATATAACGGAATTTATGCAACTAACTATTCGCTTAAATTCCGTTATATATCAAATTTAAAAACATAGATTCATCAGGTATTAAACACCCGACAAACACTATGTTTGACACAGGTATTCGGACTCAAGCGAAGGGGGAAGTGGTGGGGAGGGGTTCGTATGTGAAAAATGATTAAAGAAAAATGATGAAAAAAGATATAAATAAATAGCATGAAATAAATAAATATTAAGGCAGCGGGTGATTGGAACAGTTGAGCGTACGAGACGTATATGAGAGTATTATGGATATGTATCGTAGATAGGTAGCAATGGTACAGTAAACGATAAAGTACATCGTACAATGTATATTGAGTTAAGAATAAAAGTGTTTCGAGTGAAGGCAACGTTACGATGGTAAGACCAGCCAGCCAACAAGACCAACCAGCCTACAGAACAACAGTTTTACTACCATATGTAGATGGTGTATCCCAAACTTTGCGTAGATGCCTTAAGACCATGATATTCGCACTGTTTTCAGATCCGAAACAACTCGCTACTAATAAGACCCAGCTCCACCTTAATACATAAATAGGGATTGCAGTATTGACTTACCGGAAGTGATGGGAGACAAATTAATAAGCCATCCTTAATTAAAAACATATTTCACATGCGAATTTGAGGTAAAAAGTACTTTAAAATAGACTTCACCAGTTGTTTGTTATTTATTAAACATAAGAATTATAATGTTTGACTTAACTGAGAATCATAAAATTTAACTGATAACTGAGGAAATTGATAAAATATAGCTGTTAACTGATATTGGGACCCCACTGATTCAGACCCTGTTGAACCTTCTGCAAATTACAAAATGTTGCGTGACATCTTGCCCAGGTCACCCTGCAAATGGCGAGGCGGTTCTTATAAGTGGAGGCGAGAGAGTACTTAATTTCTTGTAGATGCTTTTTGAGTTCGATTCTTTTATTTCTGTTCAGAGCGACGATTAAAGCCAGCGCATTTGAACTTCAACAAGAACGAGTTTTGCCTTGATAGTCTTCCCGTACCAGATAACCTACAACCTGATACCACATTCACGACAGACGAAGAAGCGATAGTGCTACAGGATATATATCGTAGCACAGGAGGCCCGTACTGGACACATCAGAGAGGATGGAATGATCCCGATCATATACATCACTGCTCCTGGTATGGTGTCAAGTGTGATAACAGGACTCATTATGTTATCAGTTTGGATTTCAGTGAAAATAATTTGACCAACACTCTTCCCAGCAGCCTTTGGAAGCTGCGCAACTTACTGGCATTGTGTGCACCTTCTAATACTAGACTCGGAGGGGAATTGAGGTCTTTTTTATTTCCAAATATGTCAAGACTTATTCGTATAGACTTGGCATATTGTAGTCTGACTGGCCACATTCCTCAGAATATAGCCAACCTACTCTCTCTCGTCAAGATACAGTTGTGCTGTCAACAAGGTCTTGGCTTATCTGGCCCAATCCCCTACTGGATTGGGAATCTAACAGACTTACAAGTCCTGAGCATCGGAGAAAATGATGTAAGTGGTGATATTCCAGAAAGCATCGGTAAACTCTACAAATTAAGGTTCTTAGACTTAGAGATTCTAAGTGGGCTCCGAGGGAATATCGAATTGTTCTATAATCTTTCATCCATGGTATTCCTTCACGTGTCAAATTGTGGCATCCACGGAAATATTTCGGATGATTTTGGTACATTTTATCCCGAAATGAATCAATGTCTACTGCCACAAAACAACCTACAAGGCATGATTCCTAGCAGTATTAAAGCCATGAAAAACCTTACTCAGTTAGTTCTTTCTCAGAATAAGCTAACAGGCGTCATACCTCGAGCCATTGGGGACTTGCCCTCCTTAAGGATAGTAGATCTATCGGGAAACGATTTACTGGGTTTTCAAAATGGGACCATGCTTCACAGCTCTAAAATAGAAGTTCTCATTCTCTCCAACAACAGGCGTTTTTCATCAGAGTTTAATAATTTAATAATATCCTTAATGCCACTGAACCAGTCTATTCGTATCCTAAACGTCAGCACATGTCACCTGACCGGGTACATTCCCGTACAACTCTGGTCATTTCCAAATTTGATTTCGATAGATATTCGGGATAACGAGATACGAGGTGCCATCCCGGACGTCCCTTTCGATTTATTGTTTCTTTTGAAAATTGATTTCTCGATTAATCAGCTCTCTGGTCCAGTCCCCGCGTCCTTTAGTCAGCTACACGTTCTGCAAGATCTGGATATATCTGGAAACCCGAGCATGTCTTCTCCTCTCGACGATAAGCGTATGCTGCAGAACTTCTTTGAACCAGACTTGAACGTATTAGTAAAGAAAGATCCGTCAGATAAGTTCTCTTGTCCCTATGTTCGATTCTCCTTTAATAATGGTCTTGTAATTCTTGATCCAAGCTATTACGCCTACAGCTATTGTGTCTGTGATATCGGCTACTATGGTTACGGTAATATTTGCCGTGAGTGTATGGAAGGAGGGAAGTGTATGGACAGACAGGATGGTAGTACATACCCAAGTGTTATGACAATTAGTACTGGCTACTGGCCATCACCTTCACCTAAAAACACCTCACATCTCGTTAGTTGTGACCCTAAAGGCTTAAGCATAACGCAACTATCTTCTTGTAACCCAAATGGCTCGTGTACATGTAATTTTGTGAAGAACGGGAATTCGTACTATACTCATTGCGAACCGTCAGGTATTTGTAGCGAGGGCAGTTATGATCGCTTTTGTACAAGGTGCATGACGTCGTACTATCGCAGTGGTAACATTTGTAGCAAGTGTCCTGATTATTCAAACTCTGTCAACATGATAACTTTATTTGTGGTGATGCTAGTTTTATCCCTTGTTGTTCTCTGGTGGGCCTTTATCTATGTCAGGAAGCGTACGCGTTATTTAGCTTTAGTTGTCGCTATCGGGCAAGTCCTGTTACTGGGTATCCTGTGGTGCTTTCAGCTCATCCCTGGCTGGCTTTTTGAGATTAACGTTCTATTTTTACTGTTTTACGTGGCTGGTAGTGGGAAAAGAACTCGGGGTTTGGTCAAGATTTCCATCTTTTACATTCAGATCGTCGATGCCATGATATCTGCGCACAGTTCGACATGGCCGCCTGAGATTCTGCAGGCTCACCACTACATCAGTAGCGTGGTTAATTTTCATTTTCTTGGCATGGCTTGTGAGTTTCCATCGCTGTTCACCCCCATAGGTAAAATCACAAGTGTATTGCTCGTTCCACTGGTTGGGTTGACCCTGGTTTGGATGTACTATGTTATTGTTTATCTCCGTTATCGCAAATCAAGCCATGAAACTCACAGAAGAAGAGTGCAACGTCGTCAATGGGAGTGTCGTCAGGCCAGCATCGTAATCTTGAACATCATATACTTTCCAGTTGTTAAACAGACTATCACAATGATCGCCCCATGTGACCATGACGGATATGTAAGCTACATGCATACTGCCCCGTGGGTAGAGTGCACAAGCAGAAATCACACATATGTTGCTCTACGTGTTATCGCATGGGGTGCCTTTGTATTCTATGTCTTGGGCATTCCTCTTTGCGTCTTCTTGCCTCTACTTCGAAAGTACCTTACTTTGCGCAAAGCACAAGAAAATGACGAAGAAAACCTGGAACTCAAAGAAAAACAGGCCATGATGGATCTTTGGTTAGGTTCCATCTACCTTCCTTACAAGGAAAGTGTTCGAGCAGGCTTCGAAACTGTTGCTCTGTTGCGCAAGTTTCTCATTGCCTTCGTCATCGCCTTCCTGCAAAGTACCTCTATTTACCAAACACTCTTTCTTCTGTTAATCCTGTCAATATCTCTAATCGTCCAGTTGTCACTGACGCCATATATAGATTCATTTAAGACATTTCCTTTGGAAAACGCGTGTGAAACCATTGTCCTATTGGTTCTTCTTCACTCATTCGTAGCGATACAATTAGCTGAGCTAACTCGCGATACGGTACTTCTGTGGGTTGTTATAGGGACCAACATGGCAGTCGTCGTCCTGCTAGTTGCTTCTGTTATCATAGTTTTTCTACGAAATTGGCTGATAAAACGAATACATCCTGAGATGGAAGGCGAAAGGATATCCCAGACATCACAAACCACTGTCACTCAGCAGGGAATTTCTTGACCGGTCAGAACTTCAATTCAGTTCAAAGAATCTTTGGTAAACGATTATCGGGTTCTGATATATAAAAAGATGACTAGTAGCTGACCAGCAATGTCCCGTTTAAGAAAGACTGACACTTGATAAACAAATTTTCTTGTTCTTCGGCTCTTGTTATGATAACAAACAGAAAAAGACTTTACAAGTGTTAAAATCGTAATGTGTTACTAGAATGTACCATAGGATTTGTTATGACTGTTACGACGGCTTAAAAATTAAAAATAAAGGAATAGTAAAACAAAATGTGTTTCCTGATGATCAAACACATCATTTAATGAACAACGTTAACAGCTTTAACAGTATGCTCTCATTAACACCGTATAAGTCCTGAGATCAAAAGAAAAGAAAGCCTCTTGATGGCGTCTTTTTGGCACCCTTGCAAGAGTTTCACCATATTAACAACTTCTTCACAACTCAACTTGCGTTATAGTGCTTGTTTATAATAGGGAGGAACGGAAAACCTTTTTTACTTGCTCGCTTCCTGTGTGAAGCTTTTTCAAAACATTTTGTATAAAAAGTTAAGTACGTTATCATTTGAACAGCGAAGTCTGTACAGCGCGTGTTTATCCAAAGGAATAATAGAAAGAAATTTGACTTGAGTTCAGGCAAGGTAGGTGTAATAAAGCAAAGATAAAGGGAACCAATTTGTGCGGAACCTGATAAAATCCAGTTTTCAAAGCCAGGATTCCGTGAGCGAGACAAAAACGTACTCACCCTACCCCCGTTGTTACCACATTGCACCAGTAATGGCGTCGAGTGTGGTGCGACAAGAGCCAAGTCAAGTTGTTTCTCGAGCTAAAAAGACTCCTTCTCCCAACGTTTCTGCTCCTAAAACTCCTTCAAGATCGAGGATTGAATCTAAAAAGCGTTTAAATAGTTCGGATGGAACTTCGAAGCGGCATGTTTCGGCTCCAAAGACTCCCTTTTCAATGGAAAAGACAAGCACTGCTCGACCGTCCGACAGACTGAACCCAAAAACTATTGACCCGGTAAGTTGAGCTTTAGTCGCTGTCATTTTGCTTTCTACACTTAGTCCTTATTCAGGAAAATTCTATCACTTCGAATGATTTTCGTAAACATTTTCTTGTGTTCTTTCTTGTAAGTTTATAAGTAAGTTAACTAAATTAGCTGATATTGTCGTTGTTTTACATCAAACCTCAAACGAAAAGTTGTCAACAAAACGTTGAATAATTTACTTTCAGTTTAACGACAAGACTCCAAAATCTTCATTTGCTGCTGTTTATGCTAACGGTGGAGTGCCTTGCAGGTAGATATACACATAAATATTTTTGTGTTTATTGAGTTTTTTGCCTGTCGCACACGGTTCTCAACAGGCTATAAGACCCTATCGAGGTTGTCAAGATACACTGTAGACTGAAGCTCGAAATTGCACATAATATTATTCTCTTAAAACTTCACAGGTTTAGTATAGGATTGTACGAATAGTGTGCTTACATTTGGTAAATTGTTTCACTGTACAGACATTTGTTGATTTAGGTTTTATGCATAGTTGTCATCCTGTACAAAAAGAATGATAAATTATTAACGAGTTTGATCAATTAACACTTTTTGTTAACACGAAAAGCTCATATATTTTTAAAATTACTAGAGTTTTAAGCTCCTTTTTATTGGATGCCCTAAACATTCCATAATACTCATGTTTTAACATGCTTCCAAGCTAGTAATTGTTACAGACATATATATACGTTTATATGAATTTTTCTGTTTTATTCTCCTGAACAGATTAGTGCATGGATCTGTGAAACACAAATTACTCTGGGATACATCCCCAGAAAATCTTCCTTTTGATCCTGTTCTTATAACCTTAGCTGAGGTAAGTGTGTTGTTGTTGTTTTACATGAATGGATTGGTTGGAATTGATAAATCTATGTTTAACCTAGTGTCAAACACTATATTATTATTATACATTGTTTGTTACTTATTTTAGCTATTTCAAAAAAGGTTGATAGGTAATAAGCAATAGGAGATAGGTCTTTCCAAGATCCAAGAATAGCTGGAATGGAATCATTGGCGTTTCTTATTATTCTTGTTGATAACACAGAGGTTATTGCAGAGATATCTAGTGTTATGTTGTTAGTTGTTAACGAAACAATGAAACACCTCAATAATTTATTATTCATGTTTAAATATATGGCCACAGTTCCTTTTGGTCTTTGAATCGCTCACCATCACACCTTATACATTTTTTGAAAGAGCTATATTTGATGATTAACTTTTTGTATCCATAATCATTTTTAGAATTGCAATCAACCATGTTTGTTTGTTTGTTTGTTCATTTGTTTTCAGGGACTAAGAGAGACAAAGCATCCCTATTATTTTGTAGCACGTGAAGGATTCAAGGATATGTTAAATATTGAAGATGCTAGCTCTAGGATTGTGCCAATTGTTCCTAAGTTAATCCTTCCTCTAAGGGCTGCCTTGGTAAGAAAAATACCCTTTGCTTTTCTGAGATTTATCTGCCAATTGTTATCACTGTATTGACCTGCAAGTAAGGAGATATTCCTCTTCTACCTTTCCTATTCAGCTTGGTAACATGTTTTTACCTTGTTTATGGATCATCTGCAGGCCTCACAAGATGTTCAAGTGTTTGACACTGCTCTCAATGCACTGGTTCAGCTAAGTTCTGTAGTTGGAGAAACCCTTCTTCCTCACCTCAAGACCCTTTTACCACATGTTTCTAGGAGATTTATGGATAAAACACTCAAAGAAAGAATAGTATATGCTCTACAAGAGATTGAAAGAAATTGTGGAAGGGTTAGTACATACATAAATGCATATCTTTGTGAGTGAATAAACATTGAACGTTTTGAAAGGTTTATTCACTGGAGAAGTGTAGTGATAAAGGCATTGCCAACTATTGCGGTGGCTTCAATTTCCCATTTAATGTACTTACTACCTGGATTTAATATTAATATAATGCACTCTTATTGGTCTTCACAGGACAGTCTACCGATAATCAAGCTTAAGATCCCAACCTATCAGTCAGTGTGCTCATAGCACGAGGCTCATTTATAAAGGTGTTGTTACAACCATGATTTCTTTTGAAACTTGTCTCAATGAAAATATATATGGCAGGACTAAGGTTTTAGTTTGGAACATTATGCTTGTGCAATACGTTTTTTCAAGAAATCATTGCATGTAACAACTTTAATTTATTATTAATAAGTGTAAATAGTTATTATATATTTTTGCAAATCAATCACTGGAATCCATATTGGAATCCAGTGTGATAATGAGATAAATTATCCAAACAAGATGCACATCTGAATGCATTTAATATCATGTAAATAATGTTTACGGGAAGTGTAAATAATATGAATTCCTAATCAGTTGTTAGGGTACAGTTTACATAATGATGTCCTACCTTTATATTACACTTTTATCTGCCTAGAGGTCGTTTCAAGGTTCAATAAATTTGGAGGTATAACAGTAACTTATTGGCAACCTACTGACAACCTACAGTACCAACAACCTACTGACGAGCTATAGACCCCTTGCATGGAGGTCAAAGCAGCTCGATCTGGGGGACAAAACAAAGTCTCCTATGAAATGGAACCTATTGTTTTGCATTCAAAAGTGCTGAAGGGGTCTACTATATTATGACACCCTACTAATTACCCAACACCAATTTTGGGTTCGTATCATTTATACCTCTGTTAATATGTGTTTGTATTCATTACCTAATGTGAATACACTACACATTCAAACATTCCAATGGTATATCTGTTGGTATTTCTAAAAGAAAAAGATCATTTGAGATCTTGTGTGCATGAAGACAGTGTGAACCTGCTGCATAATGGCCAGGGCCCAGTTGTACAAAGGGTTGATAGTGCTATCCGACAGATAAATCCTTATCCAAAGGATAAAGTGATGCTGTTATCCAATACATGCATCCACTGAATAGGATTTATCAATGGGTTAGTTCTATCCACCCTTTGTACAACCGGGTCTAGGTGAAAAGGGGCTGTCGATGAACAAAAGTGGGATATAACCCAACCACAGTTGACAGGGCACCTGGGAGGCTGTTTTGCATTTCACTGGCCGACTCATTTGTCATTGGCAGTATTTTGAAACACAAAACAAAAGGAAAACAATGAAAAAAAGATGTGCCCCAAGCTCAGCACCAGAGTCATCCTATCCACAGGTTTGGTTGAGATAAATCATAGTAAGACATAAGTGTTAGCAATAAAGTGATTTGCTGCTGTTAAACCATGTTAGATAGTTAGCAACATAAAATGGGTAAGAAGCATTAAGTCATACATACCTTGAGTAAATAGAATGTTTCAGAAGGTAGAGTATCTTTTGACTTGCTTATCTTGTATCATTACATAACATAAGAATGCCATGTAAAATGAAAGAGCACTGTATGTCATTCACGCTAAACTCATGAACAAACATTCATATGTGTGGTTCAATCATGTCACAATACAATGTGTTTCTGAATGGAAGGTAAAGTTTACTCAAGGCTCTGACTGAAAATATGGTAAAGAATAATTGACTTTAAATTATTTAGATACAAATTAAAATTCAAAGATTTGTAAACATACATTTTATTACCATAATTATTGTGTGAATTAAATAAAAATTTCAATATTTTAGTGTTGTTTTAACACTGGACTTTCTAAGAGTCCTTTCTGCTCTGAGGTCTGCCTCGCAACCTATCTCACACCCTGCCTCATGTGTCTGCTAGCAGGTGCAACTTGGTGCAAGTATATTCTAAATTACTAATATATTAATAATTGTCTGTCAAAATTTTACAAATATTGTCATAATTTACCTTTTTTACCAACCTACGATCTATAACAGTAAACAGTTTTAATTCCATGAAATAAGAATGATAATATTGAGCATCGCTTGGAGCAATGTTAACTTCATACTGTCAATGCATTATTTACAATCAACGCTGGACACTTGTAATAAGAATTTTTATAAGAATAAAACAATCTTTTTAGAATTATCCAACCATTCAAAACTTATCAAAATATAAGATCATCATATTTTAAAGTCTAAAAAAACTGTTTATGTAAAAGACTCAGACAATCCTATAAAACTAAATGATTTAGCTATAAAAACTGTTTAAAGAAGATTCCTTTGTCGAGAGCTACAGGAAAGAGGAAAATATTCAAATATTAAAACAGATAGGTGTTTCTTTGTAGCCTAGAGCATATGCAACTTCATTGATAGGCAATCTCTTCAGGAAGAATCTGGCTGTTTCATCATGCTTTCTTCTAGTATACAATGCACAAACAATATGCTGTAGTTTGACTCCAACTAAAAATCTATCAAGAAATGCCAGTTTGTATTTTAGTTCTCCACCACTTCCCTCATCGTCACTGATGAAACTATAAAACACATTAGGACTGTTATAGAATAACAGTGCTAAAGATTGGTTGCTTCTTGATTGTCGCAGGATGACATCCACCGAATCTAACAGTCCTTGTGTGTCTGGTTCATCCAATGGATCAGACATGCTTGAAGTTTCTGTGGAGCGTTGGGAGGTTGACTGGGATGAATTTGGACGTGAGCCACTTGAATCTGTGCAAAAATCCATCAAAATTTAGGTCATAGCCAGCAAATAAAGCAAAATACTGATATCAGTGATAATGAGAAATCTTATGGTGTCTCTTGCAGTAGCACTCGAATGAGCAGTTTGTTCCATGCAACATCATTTGGTTTTTATTGCATGAGGTCAGGTAAAGTAACGTTAAGTACGGAAAAAACCTCCAGATATCATAGAGAATGTGTACTGAAGATAGCATGTGATGCAAGGAAACTCTAAATATCAAAGATATTCAAGATTTACTCAGAGGAGAAGAAGCCTTAGAATGCAGCTGTAATAGGAAGGGTACATGTTGAACAAACTTACTATGTTGTTGTACTGTGATTTTATTTACTGTCATCCTGGATGGCAGCGTAGTTGCATCCATAACAACAGCTCCTCTTGAGGAACGTGACATTCTTTGTTGCACAAGACTAGAAGCTGGCTGTTCTGTGTCTGCTTCCCGGTCTGCTTGTTCCTCAGCGTTTATTAATGTAGTAGGTTCTGCATTTCGCACACAAACAAGTTGATTTCTTTCCAAAAGATACTGGCCTGAGAAAACATAAGTTCGTCAAGAAAAGTGTTAAGAAAACCGTTAAATGCGAAAAAAAAAAAACAACAAAAAAAAACGTTCACACTGTAATTCTGCTGCAAGTATTACTGCTACTGCTACTCCTACTAATCCCTACCAAGTTCAATTCCAGTGTCTGTTTCAGTCATGCCAATACACACTCCAAGGCTGTCATAGCCGTTCTTTTGTACATAATTTTGAACCCATTCCACGAAGGCTGCACCAGAAAAACACTTGCTTGTGGCGTGTAGTTCAGAACGAAGGGCCTCAATTAGGTTATCAGCAGGGGATTGACTACTACTGTGATGTGAATATGTGCTAACAGATGACGTGAAATCATCTCCATCTCCTATTTGTTCTCGTTCCAGTGATACCATCTAGTATGAATGACGTATAGAATGCAGTGAATAAATCTTCATTCGTTATCATTTAACACTTGTGAAAAGTTTTCTTTTCACGGCGGTAATGTTAATGGTGATGGTGACAATGTTTGATGGCGATGGCGGCAATGTTATTGGTGATGGTAACAATGTTTGATGGCGATGGCGGTAAT